CGTACGCCGCGCTGACGAATGCAGCGCAGCCTCATTGGTAGTAAGAGACGAGCAGGATTCACGCTGTGAGGAAGATGAGTCGTGAAAAGCGGGACAGGAGAAATCATACAACGTGGGCAAATACGACTATAGGACCTTTTGACCTTTCTGGGCACTAACACATCACTTGCACAGGTGAGCCTTGTCTAGGTTACACCTTCCGGCTACTTCTACTTCTGAAAGTGCAACGCATGGCGACTGTATGGATGAGACTAGTCGACGCCGACTGAACAATTCTGTGTTCATTTCGAAAGTTAGGGTTCTAAAATTAATCCGCATCAGAACCCTTTTTGAAGGAGACTCGTACTGGAGCGGTCATTTCTAACGTGGATCTTGTAGCCGATCTTTCTCAACTGAAGGAGCCCACAAGAATGCTCAGTTATGGGCAAAAGTCGGTTATCCATCACCCTGCCGCCCGGTACGCGTAATGAACAACGATATTCGAGTCTCGTCTGGGGTCTAACTTGTCCATAATTAAGCATTCTTGGCGCTTTCAAGGCGCGTTCAAGCAACAGTTGTCATACTTCACGGATTAAGCTTTCCAGTAAACATAGCTCTATATAATTCCTCTCCTCTACATAGCAAAATTCCAACAGGTAATGTTCAGTGACAGAGAGAAACCATAAGAAATTGTGCACAATAATGTGTTGTCTCCGGTCATGGGAGGGAAAAGCTATGAGCTTACTGCCATCTAAGCTATGTCAGCATCACCAGTTACTATACGTAGTTGTTATTCGTTTAGGTATCCGAGTATGCCAAGCGTGAGTACTACAGTATGTGCAATTTCTACGCCGTCAAACCAAGCACAGAAATGGCAGCGTGAGTCGATATCACCCTTGAAAAGCTCCTCTTCGGGTTCTAGCGCATTGCTGACGTTCCCTCAGCTTGATTTTTAAGATTCTTCCTTGTCAATGAACTGGATGAAAAACGACTGGTGGCTATCGGTTCGTCGCGACCTGGAGTGGTTCATGGAGGAACAGTGGCTACCGCTCGTGGAACTGCCATAATCCATTTCGATCCTATCGTACTCGCTCGGCGATCTTTGATAAGGTGATTTCGATTTGGTTTTTTTTCAGTATTGTATTGCAGGTGCTAGATCAGGAAGAGGGTAAGAATATTTTTTAGTGAAGCGCTTTAGTTGAAAAGTCGAGGGTTTCATTATACGCGCAAGCCTCTTTGTAGACACAACATAGAAGTTGTGATGCGGTGGGACTCGTGGAGACCCCCCATGCTCCTCACGGGCAGTCATCGCATGCCTCCAGGGTTACTTTCATGTATAAATTAGTGAGGTCGGTGTCCGAGAGTAATTCGTCGCCCTTGGGGAGCGCCTTGCTTCTGGCTGCCTTCGAGAATCTTAGACACATCTGAATGTGTGTCCTGCTCTCACAGCTACTTTGATGGGCTAGCCAATGTTCATTAGAAACAAAGAAAAACAAATATTGGGGAAAGGAATACACTCAACATCACAGATGATCCGTTTCGCCCGTTATCGTAGACGAATCATCGATGTCTTACCAACCCCGGGCTCCTCAGTACGATAGAGTTGACGACATGGACAAAGTTTTTATCCCACCAGACAATTCTCGCTCGTTTAAGGGACAACTGATATTGAACGAGTTCTGCGCAATAGCAAAGGGTTCTGAAATTCGAGCCACCTTGGCCGTACAAACATTTTTTCCTTTTTAAAGCACTATAAATGCTGTTTAACGCCGCACTCAGCGCTCCGAAAGTTTTCAGAAGAACACTGAGTTATGGGCGAATGCCTTTACCCCAGGCGAGACTCGAGCGCCCACCTCACGCCGAATGCGCTATCCGTAGGCCACTGGGCCGCGTCATATCCTCTCATCTTGATGGCTTTTTGCCGTAGTTCTCAGGGTGTAGCATAAAACTCATTAAACCGAGAGTGTAAGGCGCAATAGATAGGGCACTCGCACGGTGATCGTAAGGTGCTCCTTCCACCTCCGCCCTAGATTAAGAGTTTTGCCGGTAATTCAGTGTTCCTGTGATAACTTTCGGAGCGCTAGCTGCGGATACTAAACAGCTTGAGAAAAGACAAAAGTTTAGATGGCTTGAATGGGTGCGGATTTGGAATTCTGGGCTATCGGCGCTCTTTCAATAATAATGTAAAAGTAACCCTTCACCATTAGGGCTCTTTTAGATTGCTTATGCCCTTTTTGTCGGCCTTCCGAGTGGCTCTGTGACTTTGTTCTAGGATTTCCATTCACATGGAAAGGGAAAATGATAGCTTGAACTCACAGGTACAAATGAGCAAGAACTTTCCAGATATCTGATCAACGAAGTGAGCAAGATTGGCGACCCGAAATGCATCTTCGTCCGCGGTGAGGATGGTATGCTGAAACTGAGCGATGGTTTGCGGCTGGTCCTGTATGCCACGTATGCACCAAACTGTTCGTTCTGCTGCCCTGAAGCGTCAGTGAAGAAGCTCAGCTACCTCGGGTATGTTTCACACAGTTTCTAATGCCAAGGGTTTTCAGCTTATGGTAGTCGTGTTGAGCAGTGCAAGGAGGCATTATGCCCAAATAGTCATTGTTTCTGTTGCTCTGAGGTGGCCAAGTTGTACGTTTGTCAGCCATTCTGAGTCACAAAGGTCAAAATTGGGCTCCACCATAGGACAACACTCAGCATGTGGTGTCAGAAGGTGCAAGCGTTATACGCAGAAAGGTTAATAACGAGGTTAAATCGAGATTCCAAACAGATATGTCGAAGGGCATGTCGTATGTAGGGGATCCCCAGCGTGGGCAGGGGATCCTATCTGGCTTTGGGAACAATGTTTTCCTGTTTCAAGCGCGCTGTAATCCTTCTTCTCTCCTTCCTTACCCCTCGTTGGTAGTTTTTCGATAAAAACACGGGAGGATGTGTTGGAAATTTGTGCTTGCGGTAGAAAATGCTTGGCAAGTTGGGAAATGCACTGCAGTAGCGCAGAGATGGGGATATTAAGGGGGGGGGTCTATCTTGTTTAAGTATCTCTCCTAACGGCACGTTGTGCGCTGCCACCGGGAGCTTTTCAAAAAAAAAAAATAGGAGCTAGCGTGTTTCTATTCTGGAAACAGTTTTTGGCTCATTTCCCATCGTTTACGCACTCGCGCGCGCTCGCACACGCTGCACCGCACGCGGGGGGGGGGGTGGACCGCGACACGAGAGAGGCAGAAGGGCAACTGACGCATGGTCACACATATTCAAAGTGTACCGCAAGGGTAGCATGGTCGTGGGAGATCCCAAAGGTTAAGTTTCGTCTCTTCGAGCGCCGGATTTTCCCTCTTTCAGAATGCCTTATACCCTGCGACCTTGAGCAAAAAATTAGAGGAGCTTTCTTTTGAACAAAAAAATGGAAAAAAAAAAATTAGGGAATTGGAAGGAAGTCGGATTGGGAACACTGAAAGTGGAAAGATTCATAGCGGAGGAGAGGGGAATTACGGGGGGGTACTGCGTCGTGTTTTCCAAAAATCTTCCCTAACGGCAGGACACGCCGTTTAGCGCCTCGGGGCAGGAATAACCCCTGCCACCTCTTCCTCCACAGTCACAAGTAAGCGAAACGATCCATCATTCCCTTGAATCTCAAAATAGCCTAAAGAAAACACGTCAACCTGAAGCACCTAATAATTTCCGATATTAAATCTTCCGTATGCAGCATCCTGCAGGCTGTTGCTCTGGTACAGGGAATATAAAATGTCCAGTTGCCTCGGCATCGAATCTGTGTTTTGAATATGTTTTTCATGATTTGACCCTTTATTTGTGGGTAAATTCATCGACTCGCTGTGGGAAGGATCCCACTCATCTCGGGTTTGTACGGGTTTAGAGGAACATGACATGCTGGTATCTTTATATGAATGTCCAGCGTGTCTAGCTAAAGCGTGTTCACACTCCGATCCGATCGATCCATCGGATAGTGCGACAGTGAACTGGTGCGCTTCAACACTAATTGGTGGGCAAAAATTGGGCACGCCGTTTCATATGTCACATGAAATATGCTCTGTCTTGCACTCACGCCGAAATGAATTTAGCATTACTTGCCCAGGTTTCGAAGCTCTTCAGCTATCTATTGATCGTGAAGGGTTTTGCTACCTCGCTTTTATACGTGGGTTCCTCAGAAGCAAGTATTTTTTCAGTACTGTGTGCCGAGGCTTTTACCGACAACTCCTCTACGCAAAACTTGCCATAGTCAATTATTACTATTGCGTGGAACATATTCGCGCGCAGTGCTTGGCTTGCCCAAGTGGCCGTTTTTGTTTTTTTTAATGGGCGCATCTCCGACATTTCGTCAAAGTAACTTGGCCGACCACTTTGGGGGTGGTCGCCGAGGGGCATCGCCACGGGGCTGTCATTCTCCCTGAATCCCTATAAAGTGCGGGGTGGCCCTGGTTCCTAGTCAGTACGCGCCTGATATGGAGATCCTTCTTCATGGCTGTATTATTAAAGTGGATGAGGAGACTTCTTTTGCCAGAAAGCTAAAATTTGGTTAACAAAGTTTTGTAGGAAATAGTAGTATTGGCGCTTGGACTAGGAGCCCGCCCCGTGGTGCCTGTGAAGGTTTAATGTTCACACAAAGGTAGATCCGATTGTCCCTTCTTTTGCTTTCTGTGCAAGACTTGGGAATCTAGCGATAAATACAGCTTACAAAATATCCCGAAATGGTAAAACTATAGTGAAGCTCACGCGCCCTTACTAGAGGTGGCTTTTGCAAATCCGTTCGTCCCACCTCTTTTCCCCAAGTCAAGAATCCCTGCGTTGCACTCTTTCTCTGGACCTTCTCTCTCCCTCAGGACCTTTCCTTTCCCTCAGGCAACGTTCAAACTTTCGAGACTGAGTGATTCTCTCACAGATTTTGGGTCTTGGATCGCTACGGCGGTTGGGAGAAGTCTCAGGAGAAGTAGGAAGAGGGAGCGTTTCAGGATTCCGTTGATAGATTCCCTTTCATATCCCGAAATGGTACGGTGGGTTTCTAGGGTAATTATTTGTCAACACCTTGTAGGATTCATAACAATGGATGGAGGTAGTGTGATGACCAGCTACGCATGCGGTGGCGGGTCGGATACCAGAACTAACTTCAGTCCTGCCCACCGCTCCATCTTTCCGGTGTCAGTTGAATTTTACTGTCAACCGGAAGAGCAAGAGCACTGGTTTGTACACTAGCCGTTATTATTGCTTTCGAAATGAACCTGTAGTAGAATGGGTGACGCATACCAAAAGGCATTGACCAACGCTGGACGGTTCGGAATTTTTGCTCGACTTGGAGTTTTTCTGAAATAATTCTCAGGCGCATTCGGCGACGGATGGGAGGACATTTTGCACTTTCGTTGCTTTACTAGTTCCGGTTTACAAGTCTCACTCTGGTGAAACCTGTGAACTCTTGTGAAGCTGGAGGAAGCTCGTCAAATGCCCCCACCCCGTTCCGAACTGTGCCTAATTTCTTGCATTTATTAGGTTTTAACTTACGCTTTCTAAACGCTTCTGAGGCGTACCAGTCAGATCATTTGGTTTGGTTTGCTGCGGATGATGGGGCGTGTTCGCGCAGTTGCGTCTGGCGCGCAGCCAAATCCGTTCTCTACGAGTTGTTGAAGCGAATAAGTGGCAACAGCTGATGAAAGACGACTGATACGAACTGGCTTGCTGAACGAATGGCGCCAGCTATTGTAGAAGTGCTGATCCGACTGGGCAGTAAGATAGATAGATAGGAGGGATGGAGGGCTAGGATGTGCTGGGCGAGAGCCAATCCACGTTATTCGGACGGTGCACTTAGTAATCGGCCTGCACAATATCGCCTTCGCCCAGTTCTGAAGCTCTGAAGGTCTGGATCTAAAGGGACCACAGGGTTTCTTCGGGAGGATGCTCTGCAGTTTTCGCTTCGACAAGAAGAGGAATACCCTGGAATCTCTCGCACTTGCGTGGATTTGTTCGATGAGATGGCAGAATATGATGTCCTTTGTTCAGCAGTAATCATTGGACATATTTTACTTTGGCGCAAATTCAACTGCGTCCGTGGCCATCTGCACTACCCTGTGTGGTAGGCAGTGTTA